GTTTGGGGTGGTGGGTGCCCTGCAGGGTCAGGGTGATTAAATAGTACACGGTGTGCCAGGACATGATGCTGTGTCTTCTCTCCTGTTATTGTTCCTCCTAGTTCTCTCCTGTTATTGTTCCTCCTAGTTCTCCCGCCCAGGTCCCCAGTCCGTGCCTCTGCAGCTGAGCGCCCACTGGCAGTGTGGGACAACCCTCACACAGGTCTCTGTGGAGTACAGTTACCGGCCTGGTGCCACAGCTGTGCCCACACCACTCACTAACGTCCAGATCCTTCTGCCTGTGGGGGAGCCTGTGACCAATGTCCGTCTGCAGCCTGCTGCCACTTGGTGAGGGAATGTGGGAAGCCAAAGGAGACTTGGCAGTACCCCCCCTTCACTGTGAACCCACTTTTCTTAGAGCTAAGAGTGCTATTATTGACAATGAGGTCCCATGACATATGGACTGCTGTCATCCACATTGACGGAGGGGTAACTGAGGCCCAGGAGATTAAGTTGATTATCTGAGGTCACACCAAGATTTGAACCCATATGTCCACTCTTGGTCCCAGGGCTTGTAGTTACAGCACATGTTGCCTTCAATTTGTACAAAAGCTAGAACCCACCACACAAAAAAGCCAAACTTACAGTACTGAATGTGTCATCTAAGTATGCCGTGAGGCTGTATGGCCCTACGTCTGTTCTGTACCTTAGCCCCATTTCATAGATGAGGAAAGTGAGGTGAGCTTGGGGATCAGATTTGCTGGGGTCACCCAGCCAGGAGGCAGCTTAGCTGGGACCCTAGGCTCCCAGTGTCCTCTCTGGATACCTGACCAAGATTCTCTCACCGCCAGGAACCTAGAGGAGAAAAGGCTTATGTGGAAGCTTCCAGACGTGTCTGAGGCAGGGGGTGAGCTACTGCTGTGCATGAGGGCTGGGTAGGGTGGGTGGGGCTTAGGTGGGAGGCACTGATTTAAGCTGGGAGAGAATTACGGATGTGTTAGGGGGGCAGTGCACATTCAACAAGGCTTGAAAGACATGAAGGACAGCATCCCAGGCAGTGCAAAGGCCCTGGGGCAGAACTCCTTTGCAAACCACACACATCCCAGTGAGGCCAAAAGAGAAGGATGCAGGGGCTCTAGAGGAGGCAGATGGGAAAGACAGAGTCTGCAGATCAAAGGATCTCATGCACAGGGTGAGGAGAAACCAAAATCACAGTGTGGCTGAGGCTGGTGCTAGGGCACAGCTGACCTCAAGCCTCTTTAGGCTCTGGCCGCCTCTCCGCCAGCTGGGAGCCGCTCTCCGGGCCCAGTACACCCAGCCCCGTGGCTGCACAGTTCACCAGTGAGGGTGCCACTCTGTCAGGCGTGGACCTGGAACTGGTGGGCAGTGGCTACCGCATGTCACTGGTAAAGAGAAGGTTCGCCACAGGTACTGGTCTGCCCTGCCCCTGCACAACCCCAGGAGGAGTTGGGACCATGATGGGGAGTAGGGGGGCTGGGAGCAAGCACTACCTCCTGCTTCTGCCAGGATGTGGGGAGGGATTTGGGCATGGGGCTGTTTGAGAAGGATAGGTGGGTGTCAGGACCAGGAGACCCAGGATGGGAAATGCACAGGTGGGCAGGGGGGTGGGAGTCAGGGCTCCAATGGGAGGAGACAAGAAGAAAGATGCATGTACCTGGGGCTGGCCTTCAGAGGGTATAAGGGAGTGAGCCACA